TGCCTCTAGGCCATGGTACAGTTTCCTGCATGACAAGCCTTTAAAGCCACATCCAACCAGCTAGTAATTATTGTCTCAAGACTTAAATTAGGTGTGAACTATTTTAGAAAACTGTTACTTATGTTCCAAACATGACAAGCCACTCACTCACAAACCTGGTTACAGGGTAGTCAGACCTCTGCAGATTCAACCAAGCATAGATGAAAACTATTTTTTTTTAAAGTGCATCTGTACTCAACATGTACCCTTTTTCTTTTCTTTAGTCTCTAAATACAACAACTTAACAATTATTTACATAGCATTTACATTGCATTAGGTTGTATAAGTAATCCAAAGCTAACAAAGATAAAGAAAACCTTGGGTGCTATACACAAATAGTAGTACACCATTTCAGATAAACAATATGAGCATCCTTGAATTTTGGGGTCCCTGGAGAAGGCTAGAGCCACACCTATGAGTGTGTTGCGGTCTGACAGTATTATAACTGCTGGTTTACTTCCCGCTGGTACTCCCAGACTATAGACATTCTGAGGCCAGGGACAAATCATTCATATATTGTATAGCCTAGCACAGAGCTTATGTCCAATAAGTATCTGTGAAATAACCAGAGTACTGAGCATAATGGGAGAGGAGTTCTGTATACAATAAGATATGAAAAGTTTTAAAAGGCATGGCAGGAGGAAAGAAAAAAAAAAAATCTGAGGAAACTCAAATGTATTTCTGGGGTTTCTTTAGCTGTTTTCTTAAAATTTCTTTCAACTCTACTACTACATCTGTTGCTACTCTGACATTTTGAATGTTTACTTTAAGCTAGGTACCATGCAAAGCTAACTCAATTTTTACAACAGCTTTATGTATGCCATAATCCTAGCAAGCTCAGGCTGGAAGGACCTGGGGCTAGAGATGTAACTCAAAGGTACAACACTTGCCTAACATGTGCCCTAGGATCAACCCCAACACCACACACACACACTCCACTCCATATACAACCAAGATCTGAAGCCAGATCTTCTGTTTGCTGAACCAGGGTTCCAAACAGCCTTCTGTGCTTCCGTTCTTAAACAAAAGTGAAACTTCCCAAAATAACAACTTTATTAGTTTTAATTCAACCATAAGTTCTTTATTTTATCCAATCATATGAAAAAACATCTTAAATTACTACACACTCCTTAATTTGAGTATATTGAGTATAATTCAACTTTTTAAATTTTTGGATGTCTCAGGGCCATACTGTGTTGATTACTAAGACGGCTATAAAGCAGTAATGCCCTTAGGAAAGACTGTTACATATGGAATATACTGCCCTTGTGTAACTGGTGTTGGCATTTATAAGGGCTTGTAACAGAGTTTTAACTCTGAATCTACCCTCCCCCATGCCTAGCTAGCTATTAATTCTTGCTGTTGTCAAAGTCTGCATCTAATAATATTAAATCTTATTTGTGATCCCTAATTTTTTTTTTTAAAGGAGGGCTATCTCTCATCTTCAATGGTCTGTGACACCCACTGAATATGCAGTAATCATTATTGCTAGTCACCAAATCTTTTTGGTTCTTTTATCTGCTAACATTATATCCTAAGGGTGCAGTTCCTTTCCCTGCTTTAAAGTTAGGTCTGGCCATGTGACACGCCTTGATCAATGAAATGTAAATGAAAGAAACATACACCACCCTGGGACAGAAACTTGAAAAGCCAGCACTCACTTGACCATCAACTACTTTGGTCCCTGAGGGACTGAAGAGCAGAGCTCCTGTGCACTTGAGTAGGGCATGCAGCATAAATGATGAGTCAACTTCAGTTCTCTTAAATCACTTAAATCTTTTAAGATTTTGTTAGTACCAGTTAACCCAAGCTATGCAGACCAATACACCAGATCTCTGACTAAGAGATTCTCACTCATAAATAACTTTACATATTGTATGACAAACATTTCCTTTCCACATGGGATTTTTTTTTTTTTTTGGTATCCATCCTAATTCAAAGCTGTTTTCAATGTATTCACCAAGTATGTGCTACATAAAAACACTGTGCTACATGACAAAGATAATAATTCACATCTGGAGAAAGCTTCAGTCCTATGTTGTGAGTAGCAGTAAGAGTAAGGCAATTATGGCAAAAAGACTCTATAGCGTTACAGTGGCTTAAAAGAGAGAGAGACTCTCTCTCTCTCTCTCTCAAATAAATAAATAAATAAAATTAAAAAAAAAAAAAAAAAAATCAACTGACTGTGAGTAAATAAATAAATAAAATTAAAAAAAAAAAAAAAAAAAAAGAGAGAGAGAGAGAGCTAGGCCAAGGAGATAGCTCAGTGGCATAAACTCCTGCCTGGCAAGCACAAGATCCTGAGTTCAATCCCTGGTACACACACACACACATACACACACACACACACACACACACACACACACACACACACACACACACACACAAGAGATAATCTACAGGGGGATAAAAGCACAGAAAAGATTCACAGAGGAAGTTTCTATAAATAGCCTTAAAACATAGGTAAGTACAATTTAAGGGGGTCTTTTAAGATAAAAAAGGTCAACATTAGCAAAGATAGGAAGTGCAAACAGCAAAGCACAAAGAATCCGGGAAAACACAGTAAAATCTACAGGCATGGCCAATAAATATATTTGCAGACACTCCCATCCCAGCTGGTTCATGCCTAGCGCAACATCAGGGAGCCACCGAAAAGTTTGGCAGAAGTGACACACCTGGGCTGCACAGCAGGCAAACAGGAGGAAAAAAAAATGCTGCAGGGGAAGAGTGTTCTGCGTTAATTCACAGAAATTATATCAGTGGCCCAAATCTGTGATACCAGGAATGGAAAGAAAAGTGCAGGTAGGATCAACATGTTCTGGCAACCAAGTGAACACAGGAACAGGTCAAATGGAACTCGAGGTTCGATCCCTGGTGTGCTGTGCTGGCTCCACCCCCAGGGTACACTGAGATGGCAATTGAGACTGGGTATGGTGGTGCCCACCTATAATCCCAGGGCTTGGGAGGCTGAAAAACAGGAAGGATCACTACGAGTCTGATCTGTGTAGTAAGACCCTGTAGACCCTGTACTAAATACAGTAAAAAAAGAAAAGAAATACAAGGTGCAGATCTATGGTGGCTAAAAGAACTATTACTCCAAATAACTGAGGCTAATCAGAAATGACAATGACGAGCAAATAAAGCATTACTGTGCTTCTTTCCTGATGGTTAGTTCTGTCTTCACTTAAAAGAAGTATTAGGGCTGGGGAAATAGCTCAGCAGCATAAGGGTCTGCCTAGCAAGCGCAAGGCCCCAAGTTCTGCCCCAGTACCAAAAAAAAAGAAGAAGAAGAGGAAGTATTACTAATATTTATCTTCTGCTCCACCCCTGGGGCATCAAACCTCTGTTCAATGCCATCCACCTCCCACTTTCTCCAGGAAGTAGCCAGGGGCATTTCAAGTTTTCCCCTGCTACCTTTACCATCCTCATTTTCCATCAGTTCATTTACCTTCCTCCTGGCAGGTCTGACCACTCTTCGGTGTCCCAACTCAAGCCTTAGCTCCCCTGTGAAGCCTTCCCCAAACACACAAGTTTTTCCATTTGTTGATTTCTCATTGTACTTAGTCTTGGAATTCTATACCACATCACTAGCTATCATTTTTATGTGCGTGCTTTATGCGCTCACCTCTATCATAGGCCCAACAGAACACATTTCATACGCTAAATGTCTCTGAGTTCTCTTCAGCAACAACCTGCACAAAATATGTACTCAATAGACGCTTGAAAGAGCCAGGTATGGTGCCATACACCTGTTACCCCAGCACTCAGGAGGCCAAGGCAGAAAGACTGCTGTGAGTTCAAGGACAGCCTGGGCTACATAGTGAGTTCAAGGACAATCTGAAACTACATAGTGAGGCCATGTCTCAAAACAAAAATAAATACACAATAAAGCAAGACGGTCTAGACACTTGCATGTCTTATTTCATAATCATTGTTTTATTAAGGCATAGTTAAGACATTTAGACTTAAGGAGAAATTCACCACTTGATACTTCAAACTACCCTTGAGTTATTAGCGCTTCAAAAGATTATTTGAAACTACCATTTGGTCAACAACTTTTTTAACAGTTTTCTTTCAATTCTCTGATTTCTGTGAAGGCACATCAAACAGTTCAGTGATCATCATTTCAAAGTAATTCTGACTTAGAAACAATCGAAATTGTCATAAAGACTATTTTACTTTCAGTAACCTAATTAGTGTTTCTTTTAACCTTCATGTTCAACATTATAGAACAGAAAATTCAAAGTACAGGGCTGAGGGAGTAGTTCAGTGGCAGAATACTTGTTACATGGGTGTGAGAGCTTGGTTTTGACCCCCTCTCTCTCTCTCTCTCTCTCTCTCTCTCTCTCTCTCTCTCTCTCACACACACACACACACACACACACACAAAGAAGTGCTATTGCACAGAAAAGTTTGCATTCTTTACTTTGTAAGATAACAGTTGACTTCATTGTTTTGTTTTTTTTTTTCTCTCCCCTCGGTTAACTACAATGATTCAATTTTAATGTTTCACTCTCTTGTGTGAGAAAAACAAAAAACAGACTGAGAAAAACGGGTACCGTTAATTCAACATATTCATTGGGCAGCCTCCTAATCAAACGAGCTCTCTTCCCGAACATGTTTATTCTAGCAAACCAGTTCACCGAGAAGACAACGTGCAAAGCGCCAAAATGAAAAGAAGAGTACTTTGCAATGAAACTGACTGCAGTCCCTCTGAGGATCTGACCCCTGGCAGAACAGTAGGTAATGACAACCGCTACCCTCGCGAGGCTGACTCCCTAGACTTGTCCGTCTATCCCCGGCAAGGCCCTAATGACTGTGTCCTTCCTCTGTGCCCAGGGTCGCAGCGCCGCGGGGTCCTGCAGGCAGGTAAGGCAGATGGTTCGGCTCGCGCCCGGCGGCCTTTCCCCAGGCCCATCAGCCCCCACAGCAGCGAGGTCGCCCAGCAGCTGGGCTCCCAGCCCGGCCGGGTCCTTCCCAGCTCAGGAACGCGAGCTCAGCGCCGGTCGGACCCAAGACCCGGCCGGGAGGGGGGCCGAGGCGACACTCCTCATCTGCGATTGTTGTCGCGCCCACAAGCACGCGGGACAGGTTCTTACCGCAGCCGAGAGGCAGGCCGGGGGGAGGCGGCGCCCGACCCCACGCGGGGCGAGAAGGCGCAGGCGGCAGCGACAGCGGCGGGGAACCCCGGCGGACGCCCACGAAGCGCTGGGGTATATGGGCGCCGCCATAGTGGGGACGCAGCGGCGGGCGGAGCGCGCGACCGCGACCCGGGACGGCGGGACCACCAATCCGGCTCTCCGCCTCGGAGCCCTCGCCGGGGGTCGGGCTTCCGCGGCCAATAGGTGTGCAGGGGCCGGGCGGGCTGCTGGGGTGACCAATGCAGGGCTGCGCCGCAGGCAGGGCGGGCACAAGCCCGGACGGCCCAATAGGCGCGGGGGCCCAGGCTCTCGGCCCGCCCCCCGCCCGCGCGCGGACCAGAGCGGAGGATGCGGAGCGCTAGGCGCAGCGAGTGTGGCTTAGCCACCCAGCTCTCGGCCCCTTGGCCTAGGAAGGTTCCGAAGACTGCGCGGCCCAGAGGGCTCTCGAGCCTCTCCGAGGACCTGTCCCTCGAGAGCCTATTCGTTATCGAGATTTGGGGCGCAGAGTGTAGGTTGGCCGCGGTGACTCCATGCCGACGAACGCCACGTCCAGTGCTCAGGTCAGGAGTGCCAACTAGCCCGCTCGCTCAAGGGTCCGGATTTTAACGGGTCTGCGCAGTCCCGCGGGGTAAGAGGGCAGGGGGGTCCAGGCAGCTGTCAGTCACCAGCTTAGAACGTCTTCGATTTCGGTCCCCCTGCCCAACTGTGTACTTTGAGCACCTCCGGAGGTCTGCTGTCTCTCGCTTTGCTCCCCTCATTCCAGCATCTGAGGCCTGGCCTTATGCACCTGGGGCACAATTTAAGGCTAGATTTCTGAGAATAGGGAAGAACTGTCAACTACTACCCTTGGATACCAACCAAAGACCTCACCCTACTCTAGAGAAGACTGTTTGCCTTAGCAAAAATGATTTTTGGGGAACCTGCAAGGACCGGCGGGAGTGGGGTTGCGGGTCATCCGACCTAACTGCACTGGCCACGGAAGGGGAACCGCAAGCCAAGAATGGGCGTTTTGACCCAGTAGTACAGCAGACTTGTAGCACTCATGTCCTGTGCCCAGGCCTGACCACGTTTCGTGAGTCGGAAAGCCCCATTACTCCTTTCCTGAAGGATGTTACGCTGGCACAAATTAAAAATGTGACAAATGGTTGGCTTCTAAGATATGGTCTGTGCTGGACTGTGGTGGCACACACCTGTAATCCAAGCACTCAGGGGCCAAGGCAGGAGGGTAGCAGTTCAAGGCCAGGCTGAATGACAGAGTCAGACCCCATCAAATATAAAAATGTCTCTGCTGGGATTAGTGAGGCCAGAGGGGAGGCCTGGGGCCCAAATTACTGTTTCCAGGATCCAGTCCCACCCAGTAAGTCCTGGGCCTGCCCAGCCTTCCCTGAGTCCCCAAATGAAGCACATTTCCTTGGCCTTGGGAGGGGATTAGAACAGCCTCTTTGAAACCTTCTCTTCCTCCATTCCCCCCAGTTTGTGCCAAGTAGCAGGCACCTCCCAAACTCTAGACACACAAAGCATTGAGTAGCTGTGTTGACCCCAACCTCTGTGGCATCTGCTACCTAGAGCCAGCCCGGCAGCTCTGCAGTGCCCTAACTCTGCAGTCACTATCCCTCCATCCCAAAGCTCCTAGCCCTCAAAAGCTTCTTACCAACTACAGGCAGCTTTAAAACCTCACAAGGAGATAAGACATGATAAGCCCCTTGGTATTCAAGCACCTAACAGAAACTCCCATTCCTTTAAATTAGCTCAGCAATGTGTGTGAAAGACAGAAGCCACCCTAGGCCTCAGTTCAGTAAAGATGTGTCAGATGAGGTGGGAGTGAGATTAAGGATGAGATGACTTAGTGGTTTGTCCATCCCATTACGTTCTGGCCAGCTGTAATGTACAGGAGGCAAAGGGTGCTCCTAGCTAGAAGGGCCCTACTTGGATGGCTCACCACTGACTATTACAGAGGCTGGCAAAAAAGGGCCCCGTCTTTTTGGAACAGATTCTTAGACCCTGCTTCACTAGTTTTTAGAATACATATCCCTGCTTGAGCTGTGACTCTGGATACACCCGAGCCTGACCCTGGGCCACTTGGGCTCCTTGGGGCAGACACAACCAATCTTCTGCTCAATACACTTTATTGCTAAGGACAAGGTGATGCACCAGTTTTCAAAATAATTTGGTTTATAGCGTTCATACGTAACAAAAAAGGGGAAGTATTATAAATCTCATTCTTGTATACATAGGGGGTAAGTGTGACCCCTCCAATCCTGGGCCCAGGCAAACAAATTCATGAGCAAAAACCTGTATAACCCCCTCAGTATTGCCCTTTTCCCAACCCCCACCCTCAAATCAGCCCCCCCCCCCACCAAGGGCATACCTATAATTGCCCTTGGTCTCCAGTGGCCCCAGTTCATCCTAACCCTCCCAGCCCTTGCATGATTGCAATTTTCTGTTCAGATTTACTCCCAGGCTCTGCCTGCTTCCATCATTAAAATCCTCCCATGAGGGTATTTCCCAACCAAACCCTCTAATACTGTGCCACATAAGCTCTGTCCCCAAGAGTGTTGTGAGCACACAGCCATGTTACCCCATGTTTGCCTTCAAAGAAGGGCAAAGAGGTGGCATCCACTCCTTAGCATTTCAATACTGCAGCTTTGCCAGCATTCTCTTGGGGCCATTCCAGGCCTAGACAGATGTCACATCCACCTCCAGCCATCTCCCAGGGGCCTTTACTCAGCTTAGCTGAGAACAAAATTTCACATTTTGTTTGCCTGCATAGGCAAAGAAGAAAGTAAAGGCCAGGGGCTTGCAGGAGCTAGTCCAAACCACGCACGCGCACACTTGCACACACACGCACGCACCACGCACACACACACATAAATACAAAAGGAATTGGGGAAAGTACCAGCACCTCTGCCGAGAGAGTACAGGTGATTGATTGGTAGGAAACTAAGTCCTAGGCCAGGATCAGGGCAACCTGCCCAGCTGGCACAGGTGACCCCTTCTGGCACTTGGGTCAGTGCAGCCACAGCATTCCAGTGCTCAGCTCCTCAGCTGGGAGATCAGCAGCTGCTGCCACATGTCCCAAAATGGCTTGTCTTTTCACTAGGGCAGAATGCAAAGAAGGTGGGGTAAGGAGGCGATGGGGTCAGTGACTTCATTCTTTTTCTTTTTACAACTTCACTTTTAGAGACTTCAGAGTTCCATATGTCTGCTGTGCTGTGGAATACCAGAACGCTCTCGCCACAATGGCCGGGAACCTGCTGGACCGTGGAAGCACCTACTCCATGATGGCCCGGTACAGCGCAGGCTCAATGTAATCTTCCCGGTATCTAGAGTTGATGACTCGCTGCCGTTTCTTTTCTTGCTTAACCTCTTTCTCCGTGAAAATTTCATTGAAGCGCATGTCTGAGGCCACTGACTGCAGGAGAATAGGTAAGCCAATTCATCACTTTATAGCCAACTCTCTCTTAAGGGGAGAAGGTGACATACCCCTGCTGGGTTCCCTCCTGCTCCTGGGAGCCAGTGGCAGACAGAAAACATACTCACCAGTCTAGACTTGACTCTCTTGGGAAGCTCTTCATCCAGCGTATATACGTCATCTCTCTTAACCACAAGCTGTGAGCCATCCTCAAATTCCACCTGCCAATGACACAGAGGCCTTTTGGCTAGGGTACAGTTTTTTGGTTTTTGTTGTTTGTTTGAGTTTCCCTTGTCTATCTACCCTATGAGAATGGTAATTTCCTACAGCCAAAGGAGGACAGTACAGCACTGATGTAAGGACTGCCAGGTCTGAAGCCACACTAGTGAACAATACATGGAACACAGCTAGCTCTAAAAATGCTGTTACCATTCCACAGTAGTTCTCTCCAGAGCAAAGAATTGTTGAGAGGAAGCACTGAATTAATCCAGTACCATATAACCCTAACAAGAACCTTTGACTACCTGGTACATCTGGATGGGGTGGGAAGCCACAAATTTAGCTCCATAGACTTGGCCATCTGTCCATCTGACTTGGACCACTTCTCCTTCAGCAGGAGGACCCAACTGGAGACAGTCATGGCTCTGAAAAAGAAAAAAAAGGACAATGAAAGGAAGTCCACTTGAGCACAATGGTAAGTGACATCTACTCAGCGAAAAATGAGCCACTATAGATTATACTCCTGCTTGGACACTCAAGCAGGCCACTTACTCTGGGATGAAAGATACAATAAAAACCTGCTTGAAAGTTAAAGTCTACCCTATAATCCCTTCATCCTGCTTTTAGGCGACAAAACAAACAGCTGTGATGAATTTAGCATAGGAGGCAGGTGCCAAAAATCAGTAATCGTCACATCCATTCATCTGTTTTCCAGGGCTCTTCCATGAAGAAATGCTACAAGTACACTCAGAATTTAAGAAAAGTGTTTTAAAAATACAAGCAGGGTATGAAAAGAGGCAGGGTTAGTACACAGGTCTTGACACAATACATTTAAACCTTTATTCCTTCTAGAAAAGGCTATTTTAAGATGTATGTTCAACTATATCCCAACTTAACCCTTGGTACAAAGTTATGGTGGCTGAATGAAAGGACAGACATGGGAAAAAATGCCCTAAAAAGTATACATTACAGAAATTGGGCAATGAGTCTGAAAGGTTGTGGATGTTTAACCTCTACAAACACCATACTATGTGAAAAATTGGAAAAGGTTCTGTCCTGTCTTGATATTTCCTGAGGAAAAGAGGTTTTATACTATATTGCTAATTCATTTATAAGCAAGTAATCAAAAACTGAGGTAGAAATTAACATGATCTTGATAAATCATTTAAGTTCACTGCAATTCTGTCCACAAATTTCTGAGCTTTCTGAGACATTTGTAAGAAATGTGTGGTCATGACCCACTTCCTAACATTAAGACCTAGCCCTTCTCATCATGTTGGCATTGGCAATGATGACACAAAATCTGTGAATTACTAGTCATATGCAGAGTCTAGTCAGCAGGATTAAGCTCTACCAGCCATTGTTGCACTCTTTACCATTGTGCATGCAAAATTTAAGGGAGAAAAAAAAAAGGGGACAAATTTCATATAAAAATATTCCTTAATGAAGCAGAAACAATTTTGCTACACATCAAGGCTTGGATGCTTACATAATTCCAGTACTCACGACACTAGGTGCGGTATGGCTGGAGGGTGGCTTCTGTTGCCTAGCACGCACAAGGTCCTGGGTTGGCACCCAGCACTACTAAAGCAAGAAAGAAAACAGGAAGGGAGGAAAAGAAACCCACCTATGTTACTGTGTGAATTGTGAGCTGCACTAGCTGCTGTTTTTCATGGAATTCCAGCATTGTTTTTTGTGTGTGTGGTTTTTGGTTTTGCTTTTGTATTTAGGGAAGGGACTACAGGGTGTTCAAGGTCTCACTACTATATCGGACTCCTAGTGATTCACCTGTTTACAGCCTCCCAAGAGCTGGGATCACAGGCGTGAGCGCCACCACACCCAGTCTCAATTGCCATCTCAGCACGCCCTAGGGACAGGGCTGGCATGACAGGCCCAGGGATCAAACCCCCACCCCCTGCAATTGCTTGTAGGCACTTTAATCCACTGAACTATTTGGCGAATTCCAGCATTATTTGAAGGAGAAAAAAATAACCTGACAAACTGGTTATTGAGATTGTACATTTGGCAGGCATCTTTCTGCAAGTGAATGAGTCTGTCACTGAGGAAAACAAGAGATAATATCTATTGCCAATAAAATTCAAGCTTTCAGACAAAAATTAGAATCTCAGAAAAATGACATTATCACTGTGAGCTTGTTTCCCTGAATTTAGAATTTGAGATGAGTGACACTAATGAGTGTGACTTTTTGATACTTATATAAAATTTAACAATATTTGAAAATCTCCGTAGCACAATAACTTACAAATGATCACTGAATGGTGTTAAAGAATTTTTTATGGGTGAAAGAACCCATCTAAGTGTAAGACAGACCACCACATTTCAATTTAATAGATTATAGGGCCTAAGAGATAGCTCAGTGACATAAGTGTCTGCCTGGCAAGTGCAAAGTCCTGAGTTCAATATCTAGTACATACTTACTTACTAAACAAATACATACATACACATACATACATACAATGAAGGGTAATTTGGTAGATTATAAGAAGTTGATTGACCTGCTATGAGGTTCCACATTGCACCTAACTTAAAAACTATTAGCAGCTTAGCAGAAGCACCACGTCTATGATCCTAGCTACTCAGGAGGCTAAAGCAGGAGGATCAGGAAATTCGGGGCCAGCTGGGGCAACTTGGTGAGGCCTTGTCTCAAAATAAAAACTTGTTGAAAAGGGTTGAGGATGCAGCTCAGTGGTAGAGAACTTACTACCATGTGCAAGGTCCTGGTTTCCATCCCTGGTACCACAAATACATACATAAAAACAATGCGGCTACTTGTTGAGTTGTGGTAGAGTATGAGAGAAGAATTAATTTGGGAGCCTGCAGCAGGAGCAGCGCTGGCAGTTCGAGACCAGCCTGGGCTAGTGGGTTGACCACCAGCCTATACTGCATTGTGAAACCTTATCTCAAATGGCTGCCTTTGACTCATTTTTGTATTAGAAAAGCTATTTTTGTTTAAAATTAATCATACATAACTTATAAAAACAAACTCTGGAATCCTTAGTAACTTTTGTTTTTTTTGAGACAGCCTCAAACTTGCAATCATCCTGCCTCAGTCTCCCTCAAGTAACTTTTAGAAAAGGAAATCCTGGGTCACTGTTCTCTTTTTTAGAAATAATACCCATCCATCTCTAGGAGTTGGTATAAGAAGAAAAAAAGAACATTCTTGACATACAACACTAGCACAGTACTTGGCATACTATGGGAACTTAATAAATCCTAGCTGTACTATCGCTGTGAACACCATTATCTTTATAAAGAACTGAGTCTACCTTGAAATAATCAACATACTTTTAACAGTTAAGTTGTGGTATAAATGGGAACTATCCAGTTTATTCAAGGAAGAAATGACTGACCTCTTCTACCGTGGTGCCTAGTCTAGCATCAGGAGAATCCTGGGCCAAGTCCCAGGCCGTGCCTCTGCTCGCACTGCTGACGAGATGTGCACACCAGGGCAGTGCCCACCAGTCTGGCCCCGAAGGCCTCAACTGTAAATAACCAAGAGCAGACTCTACATCTGCTAAGATAGCATGGTAGAAAGAAGAGCTGTTCAAAAATCATACAATTTCTAAGCAGTGAAACATGTACAATTTGATACTAAAGCCTGGGCTTTTCTACTTACTCCTTAGGTGCCTTCAAGACCAAAATATATGTGTAGTTTAAAGAACTGCAGAACACACTGATTGCCATGAACTTCTAGGGACAGCAGTGTAGTACACAATTTCCCTTGCAAAAAAAGCTATGAATACATCCTTCTGTTTAGGGACAGCTAAAAGACTCACGGGACCTAATAGTAAAGGCAAGTACACCCACAGCCAGTCTGCCAGTTACACCTACAAATTCCTCAGTCCCAAATTGCCAGAGAAGTGGCTTGCAGACATTACCACTATGTCCTCAGGATACAGATTGTCGCTGAAGGAGCCATCATCAAAGTTGACTTCATAAAAGGTCTCGGTGGTGAGCCTAACCACTTCACACTGGTAGAAGCGCCCATTCTTATGCTTGCTGATAACCTTCTGGCCGGCAGTGATACTCTGCAAGGCCCCCTTGGCACGCTGAAAGAAACAGAGGCTTGGCTTAGTCACACAATGCGCTCACTGGGTCTGGCAAACAAAAACCACTGGGCTTCTTTAGCCAAAGAAGATAAGTGTAAGAATAAAAAGTTAACAAGGAAAAGAGACAGGAGCTCATTTATTTTTTTCCACATGCCCATGTCCCAGGCAGTGCCATAGCTTCCTACATAAATTTAGCTCCCCCTGAGCTCCTAGCCCAGAACTAGTCCTTCTCCACAAACATAAGTCTTGTGACTTCTCTAGAGCCAACCAAATAGTCCCTACTGATGAACATCATCAGAGTAGATTCAGGTAGCCAGAGGCGCTAGGCATCGCTGCACACTGAGCACTGGCCCTACCCTCAGGGTGAAGCCAAGAAGACAAGTCTGATGGATGTCCTCAGCCATATGCAACCACCTTCTCCCCATTACAAGGCACCTGCATTATCTCTGGTGCCCTCGCTTCAGCTTACTGGGGTTGAACTCCTCCCTTAAACATATGGCATCAGAAACCACATGGCAGGTTCATGGCCACCTACTCCCAACAACCTGTCCCAGTATTCTACTCCAGCCAAGCCAGCACCTCACCATGTTCAACATACATGCCATGTCAGCTCCCAGCCCAGGCCCTTTGCACTGCTGTTCCTTCTACCTGAGACGCCGCTTCCTACTGTTTGTACCCTGGTTTCCTGACATCCCAGCATTCATCACTGACAACTCAACTTACTATCCACTCCTCTACCCCCTTTATCCACCAAGCTTCTGTCTGATACAGTATGTGGTAGGTTCCTATGTATCTTTCAGCTACAGCATACACACCTCACAGACACTATATAAGGGCAAGGACTTTCTTATAAATTCCTAGCATCTAGCACTGGTTAGTACCTAACAGATGCTTAAAAAATATTTGACTAGCACAGGCACAGCCGGGTGCAGGCGGGCAGAGCACCACCAGAATCTCAGCCTGCTCCAGCCTCGCTGCTCCGCTTCTCTCTCCTGTCGCCATGGCCGCCTATAAGCTGCTGCTCATCCCGCACAGCGAGAGCACCTGGAACCTGGAGAACTGCTTTAGCGGCTGGTATGATGCCAACTTAAGCCTAGTGGGCCACGAAGAGGTGAAGCACGGCGGGCAGGCGCTGCGAGATGCTGGCTACGAATTTGATATCTGCTTCACCTCAGTGCAGAAAAGAGCAATCCAGACCCTCTGGACAGTACTGAATGCCACTGACCAGATGTGGCTGCCGGTGGTGAGAACTTGGTCTCTCAATGAGCAGCATTATGGGGGCCTGACTGGCCTTAATAAAGCAGAGACGGCTGCCAAGCACGGTGAGACCCATGTGAAGATCTGGCGGCGCTCCTATGATGTCCCACCACCCCTGATGGAGCCTGACCCATCACTTCTACAGCAACATCAGCAAGGATCGTAGATATGCAGACCTCACTGAAGATCAGCTGCCTTGCTGTGAGAGTCTGAAAGACACTATTGCCAGAGCTCTGCCCTTCTGGAATGAAGAAATTGTTCCCCAGATGAAAGAGGGGAAAAGGGTGTTGACTGCAGCCCACAGCAACAGCCTCCGGGGTATAGTCAAGCATCTGGAAGGTCTCTCTGTAGAAGCCATCATGGAGCTAAACCTACCAATTGGTATTTCTGTTGTCTATGAGTTGGCTAAGAACTTAAAGTCCATCAAGCCCATGCAGTTCCTCAGAGATGAAGAGACCGTGTGCAAAGCCATGGAAGCTGTGGCTTCCCAGGGCAAGGCCAAGAAGTGAAGACCACCAGCAGCCTGCGCCCCATCCACCCACCCTCCACACCTCTCCCCCGCCTGTCACACTGATCACACCTGTAGGATCCTGTGTTGTAGCTGTGGATGGGGACCAGTGGCTCCCATTTCCCTTTTAGCATTTTGGCTCCTGCACCCATTCCCTTGATAGAATCTAGTCAGAACAGGACCTCTAGGACACAAGCTCTAGTTCTCAGTCCAAGCCCAGGGAAGGCTCCTCTTATCCAGGAGAGTTGAGAGCTAGTAGCTGTCTAGTGCTTCTGCCTTGTTTACTAAGGACCTGCTTGAGTATGGGAAAGGGATAACCATGCCAAGGCATGACCAGTAAGGAGCGGCCTGAGCACGCTGCTCCCTAGAGCCAGCCCTGCGCTCTTCTGTAGTCCAGTCAGTCAGCGAGCTCTTGACATTCCAGTGAGAGATGAATGTAACCTGCATGGTGATCGATATGCAGTTTCTTCCCTCACCCTAGAGGCTGGCTCCAGAAGGTTGGGGTTAATCCTGAATTAAGTCTATGTGTTCAATTTTTCTACAAAAGAAAAATTATATAAACACCCTTCTGGGGCTTCTAGTGGTGGTTGGATAATTCCACATGTGGTTACCAGAAAATAAGCCATTCCTCACACCAGTACAGGATGAGCTCTGGCCTCTGTGGGGTAGGAGTACATCCTGCTGTGTAGCTTAGGATCCCTCTGCCTTGTTTTGGTGGCAGTGATAACGCCTCCTGACCATGTCTAAGTGCGTCTCACAATGTCTGATTTCTGAATCATGTTCCAGCTGGCGTGACCCTGCCACATGGGCCAGCACTCATTGGAACATAACCGTAAGTCTTTTTCCAGATCAGTTTAATAAAGGAGTGATGTGCAATTTAAAAAAAAAAAAAAAAAATACTTAAACAATACATCAGTCCAAGAAATATTTAGCAGTACCCCAGTTTTCCCTCAGCATCAACAGTCTACAGCTATCAAAGCAAGCCAAATACTGATGATAACCATAAAACAGCAACCCTATTCTATGATCAAACTCCCAATTTATCTGCCAGAGCTAGGAATTAATCATAACTTAGACCTTTATTTCTTCTAAGTTGTGTTTTCCCATTGAGAATTCTCTGATGACCACCTCTCACAATCATAAAACGCCTTCATGAATACGGAAAATCCAGACAACTAAAGAGGACTTTTCTATGCTCTCAACAGCAGAGTGCAAAACTCCTTTTGCTGGACTGGATCTCTGCTATGTTCTTCCTTGATTATCATACTCCCCACACCAGGAAAATGTCATGCATTAGCTTGTACCTCCCTGCTGGAGCCTTTCCTACTTAGCACAGCTAACCTGTCTGTACCCCTGGGGCTCCCTACTCTAGGGTATTCAGGAAGCAAAATACCTCAAAGATTTGCCTAAGTGTTCCCATTTCAAAACTTCCTCCCTTCTAGGCTAAATTAAATGATTTGGCTGCCTCAAATTCTGGTTTCCAAATCATCTCCAAAGCCACCACCAGTCACCATTTAAAAATTTAGCTCAGCCGGGCATGGTGGCCCATGCCTGTAATCCCAACTCTCTTGGAAGCTAATAAAGAAGGCTCTCAAGTTCTAACACAGCTAGGCAACTTAGCAAGAATTTCTCACAAAAAAAAAAAGGGGGATGGGGATGTTGTACAAAGACCCTGGGTTCAATACCCAGTACCTCAGTACCACCACCAAAAAAAAGGAAATATAAAAGGTTGGGGGCCAGGGAGATAGCTCAGTAGAATAATTCAATCCCCGGTTCCGCCAAATAAATAAATAAATGAATGAATATATGCGGCAAGGAATTTTTTTTTTTTTATTTTATTCAGTACAGCGTCTTACTACACAGATTGGACTCATAATGATCCTCCTGTTTTCAGCCTCCCAAGCACTGGGATTGCAGGTGCACACCACCATGCCCAGTTTCAGTTGCTGTCTCAGCACACCCTGGGTATGGGTCCAGCACAGCAGGCCGGGGATCGAACCCACAGCCCCTGCATCTGCTTAAGCAGGCACTTTAATCTGCTGAGCTATCTGGCCAGCCCCATAACTAGGAAATTTCTTAAGAGGAAATGTAAGCTGGATATGGTAGCACACACATGTAATCACAGCACTTGAAAAGCTGAGGTCGGATTGCTACGACCTCAAAGCCAGCCTGGCCTATGTAGTGAGTTCGAGGCCAGCCAGAACTACATAGTAAAACCCTGTCTCAAAAAATATATATAGTTCAAGCCAGATGTGGCATCACATACCTATATAATCCTCAAAAGGCTGGGGCAGGAATGTCCAACCTGGACACCTTAGTCAGATTCTGTGTCAAAATAAAATTTTAAAAAGGACTAGGGAATACAGCTCAGTGGAAGGGCATTTGCTTGGCAGACTCAAGGTCCTGGTTATCCCTGGTGCCACATGAGTGTACACACACACAAGCTTCAAAATCTTAGCGTTCAAACAGGTCTCGTCCAATGTAAGAGAGATCACGCTCAGAAGTGTGGCAGTGCAGGACCTTCATCATCCAGTGCTGCTCTTCTCTCAGTTATTACCCCCTGCTTTGATTCCAGAACCAGTCTTTTATGTTCATTTTTTCAAACTTTGATCCTCTGCTTCTGAAGCCCTGAATATTTTCCTGCTTGCAATTTCTTCTTACTGTCAGCAGCCACTTCAAATGCCAGCTTCTACCAAGATTCTCCTAACTCCACTAGCTCATTTTCTGTATATCTCTCTGTACTTCACCATTCAGAGAACTACAAAAACTTCTAATGAGTATCTGTTTAATGGTGAACTGTCAGTTCTCTCCAGCAGTTCTCAACATTTAAAAAGCTTCTGTTATATCCCTGACACTACATGAAATAAACAGGACATCTAAGGTAGTAAGATATGGCTCCTCAGCCAGACACGGTGGTACACACCTGTAATCTCAGCAATCTGAGAGGCTGAGGCAAAAAGATCACAAGTTTGAAGCCAGCCTGGGCAACTTAGCAAGACCCTGTGTTAAAATAAAAAATAGAGTGGGAGATAGTTCAGTGTGAAAGCCCCAGATTCAATCTCAAGTGCTACCAAAAAGGACATGGGCCCTCACCTCAAGGAGTTTATCCTCATGGACAGGCAAGCCAAAAAAGATGATCCAAGTGAAATCAACCAGAAGCAGTTTGGTGCCATAGATTATGAAATCTGAAGCAGGGAGTAGGGGCAGTCAGGGTCCTATCTTAATGATTTACTCGTTAGCATCTCCACCAAGCACAATGCTTGAGGAAATAATGTGCTGGAATATAAATGGACAACATTTGGAGAAAGGATTCTTCAGTTTGTCAAGAGGATTCCAGAATGGCAGCCTCCCTTACCTCCAAACTGGGAATCCTATGCCGGAAGCAGGTAATGAAGACAACAAAAGGCCAGTCATCTGGCTGCATCATCACCCCGGCAGCCTGGGCACAGCTCACGTGGAAGGCAGTTGGGCAGCGACCGTGAGAACACTGCACACAACAGCCAGCATTTCTTTTCCTTCGTTTCTTACAGAAGACACATTTCTGAACACAGGAAAAGAGCCAATGAATGATTCCAGGAAAGACAGTCCTGCTGCTTTTATTGATCCACCCCCAAAATGTACAGAGCCAAGTAAGAGTCACCCTTCCCCCAAAACAAGAGAGTATGCAGCCCATTCTAGTACCACATCTGCTCATGGTTCTCCTTGGTAAGTAATGTGATCACAGGATGAGAACCAGAAACTGAACAAAACTAGGGCCCAGCACATACACTGTCCTCTACACAAGAGACCTGTAAATAGGATAATTAGATAGAGTCCACGACCCCAGCTCTTCTTCCTTACCAGTTTGAAGCGGGGCAAGGGGATTTTGCTCACATCCACTGGACTTCTCTCTGCAATGTTGACAAACCTTGCTTCCAGAATTGCCACAGCACATGAAACGTGGACCCACCTGCCAAAAGGTGGAATGAATAAAGACCTCAGTCATCTCTGGGCCCAATGGCCTATGGCCTCCTTTCTAGTACAGGCCTCCGACAATGCTTCCATCCTCACCCATGATGGCCACTGAATTCCTCCACCAAATTGCTAAGACCCAGGAAGGTGAGAAGCAGAAACATAAGCACACCACACTGCCCTAGGTTTCCTGCATTATCCTCTCAAATCTGTGGCAAAATAAGTCAGACCACAACTTGAATGCAGTAGTTTTCAGAGATTACAATAAATTGAAGGGGGGGGGGGCTACCCCTTAGCCCAGTTCTTTAGGTGGCTGCTTCAACAAAGCAGTCAGGCTCAGATTGCTGTGGTTCAATCCCCACAACTCAAGCCAGCCAAACCTGCCCTGAAGGCATTCGGAGCAAAAAAAAAAACAAAAACAAAAACAAAAAAACAACAACAAAAAAACCAAAGAAACAAAAAAACAATAAACTGGAGACTGCAATAGGACCCAGGTACTTCTGGAAAATAGCTCCAGCATACCCCAAGCCTGACAGAATCATGGTGCCCCTTAGGTCTCTGCTCACACCTCTTCTCCAGGCTGAAACAATCTCCTTTTTATTCCCTTTATCCAAGGTACATTCTGACCCAAACCCTACTTTCTCTGAGAGTTGCCCAGTGGACAGCTGTAGACGATTAAAGCAAGTTCTGGGCATTCTGAGATGACAGGCACTAAGATAAGAAAAACTAAGCTGGTGATAGGTCTTAGTCTTAGGCTACGTTAAGCTCTTAATATCAGAGGCGAGGGGTGTAGCTCAGTGCTAGAACATGTACCTAGCATGTACAAAGGCCCTGGATAAAATCCCCAGGCCTGCAAAAAAAGAAAAGTCAGGACACACAAAGACCTACAACAGATAACGCTGAGGCTACATGGAAGCAGTCAGCAGTACAGATGGGACTGTCATGTCCCATGTGGCCCTAGAGGACAGAACAGGAATTAAGAGACAATGGTGAGGGGCTCAAGCAAACACATTCTTGCTTCCAAGAAGGAAAAATGTTACTAGCCCTTATTCTGCAACTGAGAGGAACACAATGTCTTCAAGTAATGGCAGCCAGTGCCTTCAGATGAGCAGAAGTGACAGCAGGAGAGCCATCTATCAGACACACCAGGCATGAGGCAGGACACTCACTGCCGGCTGCTGTGGCCTGTGTGCACAACCCTCTAGAGAACCACACCATGCAGGGGAAGAACCTCAGCACCTTACGTTTCTGCCTCAGTAGTATGTAAACTAGGATGTATAGAACGAAGATGTAGCCCTGTAAAAGTGAGCTACCTGGTGGCTGAGAAGCCCAGAATTGTTTAGATTTAACATAGGTGACCTGGCTAATCTTTCAGTGTTCCATTTTCCTCCTGGAGGACTCACATTATCTCTCAACAGTAGGTCTGGACCAGAAAGCTGGTTCTGAAGTAAGTCCTCACTGGCCTGTATGTATTGCCACCTATGCACACTAACCCTGGCTGTGACAAAGTGAACGTCCACACTTCTAGGACACAAAGCTTTGCTCCACCTTCATGAGTCTCCATACCTTCCCCGAGTCCATCCTCAGCTCCTCCCGAGAGGTGGTTACTAAAGGATGTAACACTGGAAAGAATCAAGACTGTCTGGCTCCCCTGTAACCCACTGTTACAAGTCTCAAAACACAGTTCACCCCCAAACCCTTACAGGTGCCCAGGAAAAGAGCCATGGCCCCACAGTGCCACTGTGCTCTGCATCAGAACTAAGCAGGGTGTTACAAGAAATGGATCCAAAACTCACCTGTCATCATTTGCCCTCTGCAGGGCCCCTCCTCGTAAGGAGCATAAACAACAGTCCTGCCCATGAGAAAGAAGGAGAAAAGCAGTTAGTACCAAGTCATTAACACCCAGTCTACTCTCCTTCCACTTCCTGTGGACAGCGCTGACCTCAACCTAAGAAAGCAGCACAATGGCCAGCTGAGCTTCCAGACGAAACCCCTAGCAGAGACTCCGCTATAGGGTACAGACGCCACTAGGGCCAAAGTTCATCAAGCATCTGCTTAACAGAATACTCTTTGCTATTACTGTTCCTATCAGCAGTAGGCAAAGCTGCAAAAGCTGTGCAAACTGGAAGCTTTATGGAACTCTGGCTGTTTCCTAGGCAGGTTACTGCCAGGCTCTGGGGGTGAAGATCAAGAGATATGTGGAAAATCAACAATGTGAGCTCAATACTGAGGCTCCAAGCCCACGGCTAACTCTTAAATGGGATAAAAGACAATCAACCTAGTCTTGACTCATTGGAGCAAACACAGCTTCCAGGTCTACTCATCCCCTGCTGCAAATGGGCAAGAACTACTCTCACTGACCTTAGACTCTCACATTACTCACCGACATCAACAGTACTGGGCCCGATGTAGACTACTGTGGACACTAAGTCCAGCCTAAAACAGCCTGACCCTTCTAAGTCTCATGAAGAAGATAGAGCGTGGGAGTACTTACTTCCTCTAGGGCATTGGCTGAACACCGAGAACACATCCAGTCTTCAGAAGCCTTTGCAGGGGGGACCCCATAGCAACCTAATAGGAACCCCAAGAGCAGCAAATTAAAACCAGACGTCAGAGCAAGAAGTAGCTATGCAATTCTTTCCTCCTCAAAACCAAACCTTACCAAAACCCCTGAATTCTAGGTCAGAATCCCTGCAGCTCAATCATACAATATGGGACGAGGTCTCAAAAAAGATAGCAACTGCAGGTTTGCTAGTAAGTGTAACACCTAATAAGTAGTAGAGTCTAATCTATTCTGAATTCTCTGACATGAAGAGGTCAACAGAAAAGCTGATTGGCACAACTACACATGCTTGGAGTCTCCTCAGTCAACAACAACTCCCCATGAACTTTAAGCAGCTTTGCACTTGGGGAAAGGAAAGACTGCCAGGGAGCAGGGACTTTCAGTGAGCAGGCTCTGTTCCTGAAGTAAGAAAAAGGCAACAAGCACTCACTGGCATGAACCCGGACACTACATTTCTTGCAGGAAACTAGGATGCTGGTACCATCCTCCTCAAGATAAGGAGTAGACAGGTTTATGTCCGTGCTGCAGCCAGTTGAGGTGAAACACATTTCTGGAATCAATGGCTTGGTCCTCTGCTGCTGGGAGACTAATTCTGAAGCATTTCCACAGTTCTGACTAAGGCCTCCAAATTCGACCTAAGGGAAGAGAAAAAGTACACACCAGTGAGCCTATGCCTGTGCTCTTAGCTTTCCACCTGCTCCATCAGCATAAAACACAGTCTCTTATTCATATGACTATGGCTAAAGCTCCCGGGTGTATAGCCATTATCCCAAAGCTACTAATTGAAGTTACCTCTAATGACTCAAATTCAATTTCTCACAGCAGCATCAAACAAAGGCCCCTAGGGGACAACTGAGAAGAGGGAGCGAGGTAGGACACAACTGGGATTTCAGTCTTCCTATGCCATACAATAATAAAATACCGAGATGGTAGCAGTGGAACAGCCACTGCAGGTTGTGCTATACCACATGGCGGCCCCCTTCAGGGACAGCACCCAGAACAGGTGCACCTAATGGGCCAACACTGATTGCCTCCGATGCTCTGTGTCAGCAAGTTACCAGAACTGCAGCACTGTCTCTTCTGGCTGGAGACCCACCTGTGATTCCTGGCTCAGGGGGCCTTCCAGGCAACATCTTACCCACATGCCCCTTGGCAAATGATACTACAAATATCTGGCTTTACCACTGGATGGCAACATTATTCCCATTCCAAAGACGGACCAGAAATATGTTAACCTCTACGTCTATGCCATCCATAAAACTCTATAAATAACACACGCCAACTGATTATGCTACCAGAGCTCCAGCCATTCATGAAACTCTGAAGCCCACTTAAGCTATTAGGAGTAACAACCAGGCCAAACAATTCCCTCGTGGAAAATGGCACATACAGTTCTTGTGGTTTTTTTGTCCTATCAATGGAAAGAATTTGTGAGTAACTAACCCAAAAAGTGGGGCTGGGGATAAGTGGCTGCTTGGCAAGCACAAGGTCCAGAGTTTGAGCACCAGTATTGGGGGAAAAAAAAAAAAAAAAAAAAAATCCACAAAGTGTACTGGTCTGAGGTTTCATCCTTCAGCAAGTATGAAACTGGAGCCCTGCCAGGCTCAGAGCAGCCATGCCACTGTAACTTCCAGAGAATTGCTTACTTACTATTTCCAACACCCAGCAGAGCCTGTACTGGTCACCTGCCACCTGTCTGCCTGGCCTCCTAGAGCTACACAAAGGGATACATGATGGTGAAGCCCTCAGTGTCCCAGCACAGGAAGGGCACTAAAGAGTTCAGCAACTGTGTTTCCCCACCCCTCTCCCCTAGCTGGTCCTCTACTTCCACTCTACGCTAGCTCTTTCTGGCCTTCAGCAACATCCACATTGGGGACAATGGGAAAAGGCAAAAAATGACCATATGACAGGATCTGGCTTATCACCCAGCCTGTCAGAGTATGCTAAAGTAACTACAATCCTACACCCTGACTGGTCAGTCCTACCCTGCCTGGCAGGAATAGCACCAGACTAGGATGCTAACAAAAAACAGTGCTCTGCAAACAGCACTGTGACCACCACACATGCAAAAAAAAGCCTGGACCACATGGTCTCCACACCATTTACGTGCACATCCACAATACAAGTTTATCTGCCTAGAGAAGCCTGAGCAACTGAGACAGGGCAGAGTACACCAGAGAAAAAGACAACCAGTGACAAGCTGCATACCCACAATAAAATCTAGCACCCTACGATGGCTGGTCCTGGGTCGGGACAGGACAAAACCAGCCTACCTGATGATAGGTCTGGAAGATCATACAGACTGCACAGTGAGGGGCCTGCTGGGCCATGCTCTCATTAAACTCCTTTTCAGCCTCAAAGTTCGGGGGCCGGTTCTGCCACAGCTGGCTCAGGGGCTTGGCCCAGGCCTCTGTTTCCTCAGCCTCCTCCTCAGGGGTCAATTGCTCAGAGGTCTCTAGGGGAAAAAACAAGAATATAGGTGAGTATCAAGCACGCACACGTGTGGCTGCCTTGAGAGCAGGAGCACTCAGCAGGGGATTCTGGTCCAAAACAATTCCTAGGAGCAATAAAGGCAACAGGTAGAAGTGACCGTGGACAGACTCCTTCATTACTGTCATACTGTCGTGAGCAGTCCTGCCTTGCTCCTCTCTCTGTGGAGACTGGACTCATGGTCTGTACTCTTCCTCTTGCCCAGGAACTCAGCCAGCTCTTCTCCCCATGTAGCTGCCACATCCAACCCTCTGCCTTCTCTCCTAAGTCAGCAGAATGAAGCACTATCTTGCCAGAATCCTTATTTTCTACCTTCAAAACATCAGCATGCAGCTGAGCATGGCGGCCCACACTTATAATTCCAGTACTCAGGAAGCTGAGACAGGAGGATTGCTAGGAGTTCAAAGCCAGCTTGACAAACAAAGTGAAATTGAGGCCACCCTGAACCGCATAGCAAAATGCCGACAAAAAGTCAACATGATAAGACCTTTCCCTTTTACAGGTTTTCCTCAGTTGCACTGAAGGAAACAGAAAAAAAAACAAAAAACAGGTAATTAGCAAAGCTTAAAAGTTATTAAAACTAAGGGCTGGCCAGATAGCTCGGCAGACTAAAATGCCTGCTTAGGCAGAGCACAGTGGTCGGGGGTTCGATCCCTGGTGTGCTGTGTTGGCCACACTCCCAGAGTGTGCTGAGATGATTGAGACTGGTGTGGTGGCACACACCTGTAATCCCAGTGCTTGCGAGGCTGGAATCAGGAGGACCATTACGAGTCTGGTCTGTGTAGTGAGACCCTATAGACCCTACACTAAAATACATTAAAAAGAAGACAGTTGTTAAACAAGGGTCTTCTGACAGGACTTTTCAAGACCTCCCTCGGGAAAGGCCAGTAGGGTACCTGCGTCTCTCCAGCAAGGTTCCTCAATCTCTGTAGAGGAGGGTGGAGTCTAATGGCTACAATGAATCCTTGTTTCCCGCCATAAAATGTAATGTGGATGCTGTCCAGGGGCCAAATCCACCCCACTCAGGGTACTTTTTTTTTTTTTGGCGGAACTAGGGATTGAATTTAGGCCCTTGTGCTTGCCAGGCAAACACTTATTTTACTTATTTTATCTCCCCAGCCCAGGGTACATTTTTAAACAGTTGGGGAAATGAGAAAAAAAAATGATGGTCTTAGAAACCAATTAAGGACAAACATTAACTCACTAGCCCTTCACAGACCCTTGGTCCCCACGAGAGACACAGCCCTGGACTTCACCAGCCCAGAGGTGACATACTCAGGAGATCTCACCAGGAACTGGGGGAGAAAAGAACTGCTGAGTGGAAAACAACAAAACTGGTGCACAAAGTAAGATGTGAAGTGAAAAAGGCCCACAGCCTACCAACGAGCAGCACACTCATGGTCAAGGAGCAAGACACCCAGAGCAACTGTGGAAGTCCACAGTGAGTGAGGGATCTTTGGTACAAGCAGAAACAAGTAGCAAGATAAAACTGGTATTTCAGGAAGCTGAGGCAAGAGGACTGCTGCTGCAAGTTCAAGGCCAGCTTGGACTGCACAGTGAGACTTTGTCTCAAAAGACCAAAAAACAAAATAAAAGAAATCTGATGTTACTTACAGTGCTTCTCTAGATATTCCTATGTGCAGGCTATGTGTCTGTTAGTGTTAGAACCCACAGTTGCCACACAATTCCTTGTCAGATGTGGCCAAAGCATGTGGTACAGGACAGAAAACTGGCTCTGACCACCCCATCACAAGGCATCTCAAGGGGTCGCTGCTTGTGGGACTGCACAGGCACAAGCAGTCCCCTGCCAAAACCCCTCCAAGTGATCTCATTTCTTCCCAGACAAAAGCACTTTCCAAGCAGCCCCTGAGGACTCTATGAAACAGCCCAAGTGGACATATTTGACTAAGTGCACATACTTGCTCATTTCTTCCAACTCTAGCTCAGCACAGACAAACCATTTTTTACCCTGCCTGCACAGTCATGTTTAATATAAAGCAATGTGGCAGCTGCCATTGTGTGTGGCCTCGGTCAAAGCCACTGTAGCATAAGGAGGCCAGTGCAGACCAGTAAAATCAATCCCATAAAGCTCCATTATTCAGATCTAGTCAGGAGCCACAGTGCCCAAAACCCAAGCTTATATGTTTCATTACCCTGGGCCACGCAAGAGTCACTGAGCTAGGATGGAAGAAACAGAAACAAACAGGCTCATAATCACAACTAAAAACACTGACATATGTTCTAGTTACAAAGTCAAAAGTGGACAAAATCATTCCATGTATGAATACTGGATGATGAAGCAAAATGCACCCTGCATCAGGTTCTGTGTGTAGAACCTCACAGAGCCATGCATGTAAGCCCTGTGCATCTCAGTACAACTACTACGCCTCAAGTTCTCCATTTAAAGAAGGGAGGAGTGCACTACACTGAAAACCCTAAAGAAACCTAACTTCAAAACACAATATTTGATGCTAGCTCAGCTGTAATCCCAGTACTTAAGAGGCTGAGGCAAGAGAATTGCTGTGAGTTTGAGGGCAGCCTGGCCTGGGCTACAAAGTTGAGTTTAAGGCCAATCTGAACTACACAGAGGTCTTGTCTCAAAAAGCCAAGAAAAAGGGCAATCTACTCCAGATCCCTCTTGTTTCTTAGCAACTACTCCTATTCCTTTTTCCAATAAATTTTTCTAATCTTAAAAAAACCCAAAATTACAGGGCCAGCCAGAAAGCTCAGCAGACAAAAGAAGCACAGCGGCCAGATTTCAATCCTGGGCATGCTGTGCCAGCCCCACCCTCGGGGCGCACTGAGACAGTGCTTAAGACTAGACATGGTGGCACACACCTACGATCTCAGTGCCTGGGAGGCTGAAAACAGGAGAATCACTATGACTCAGATCTGTGTAATGAGACCTGGTAGATCCTGTACTAAATATATATGTATATACTTGAATTTTACAAAAGGTTTATTTTTTTAAAAAAAAAATTTTATTAATTTTTTTTGTTTGTTTTATTTTGGTTTTTGTAGTACCAGGGATAGAACTCGAGACCTTACGATTTCCCAGCAGGAGATTATGCCACTGAGCTATCTCTCCAACCCTTTATTACTTTTATTGAGAAACAAATAGCAATGAGACAGCTTCAAAACAGGTTAATAGGGCCAGGGAGATGGTTCAGTAGAATAAACGCTTGCCTGGCAAGTGCAAGGGCCTGAGTACAATCCCCGGTTCCACAAAAAAAAAAAAAAAAAAAAAAAAAAAAACAGGTTAGTAGGACAGTTACAATAATTAACACATTGCATATTGTCTTTGTAGTAGTTATTCATAGTATAAGATGCAGACACGATATCCTGTCCAAACACTATTAGTACAAATCATTCTTCTCATTGAATTAAAAGAAAATAGCAAGACATTTGCTATTAATGCCTTCTCATTAATAGCAAATGTCTTGCTATTTAAGACATATATATATATATATATATATATGAAGAAAATAGCAAGACATTTGCTATTAATGCCTTCTCATTAATAGCAAATGTCTTGCTATTTAAGACATATATATATATTACTAACTGTATATATATATGAGCAACTGCTTCTTAGGTGTGATAACTACATCCTATTTACTTGAGTGGCAGCCCTCCTTGGGAGGTTAGTACTGGTGTATTAAAGTGAGGTAAGCTGATAACTACAGCTAACTTCCTTATTCTAATTCAGGCTGGCCTTAACTGTGTTGCCAGGGCTGGCCTCAAACTCATGGCAATCCTCCTGGCTCATCCTCCCAAAGGCTGCGATTACAGGCATGTGCCACGACACCCAGCTACGCTCACTTTCAAGGGATGCAGTATATGAAGGCAGTATTGAAAGCAAGCAGAAAGCAAGGCAGATTTCTGGTGACAGTGTTCAGGTAATTGCTAAATACATGCAGACAGCAAGCAATGTCTCAGCCCTTCAACCTGTCAGGTTTGAACACTGCTTAATCACTGGTTGGAGGAAGTTATAGTCTCAATCACATCCTTTTATTTATTTTTGGGTTTTGCTCATTTTATTGCTTGCTATTTAAGACAAGAGTTTCACTTTGTAGTTCAGGCTGACCTTAATTCCTTCCTGTCTCAGCCTCTTGGGTGCTAGAATTATAGGCATGTGCCATCATGCCTAACTCAAATACATTACTTTAAAAAGACACATATGGGGGCTGGCGAGATGGCTCAGTGGTCTAAAGCACCTACTTGGAACAAGCTTAGCAAACCACAGGGACCACGGTTCAATCCCCCAGCACCACATGCCAGCCAGCCTCGCCCCCTGGTGGGCTGAGCTGGCCACACATGCGCACACACACACAATAAATAAATAAATGTTTAAAAAAATAAATAAATAAAATGTAAATTGTACGTAAACATGAAATATATATAAAAAAAAAAAGACACATATGGACATAATTTACTATGTCTAGAAAAGCCAGGAAGATAAGGACCAGGGAGCAGGGAGACAGCTCAACAGCTTAAGTGCCTGCCCAGCAAGTGCAAGGTCCCAAGTTCAATCCAATCCCCAGT